CACTCTGAGATCGGAGCCGATGGGCGATCCATAGGAGGGGGGGGAAGTGGGTAAGTGCAAAACCTGCCTTTTGTAATCTCTTCCTGAGCATCCCAGCTTTCCATTTTGAAAAGAGACAAGTTTCTAGCTCTCATGGAAGGGAAGGGAAATGTGGATGTGTTTCACCTCCATCAGCCAGAGAGACAGCTGGGTGGGATCTCAGGTCACTGGAGGGTGTCTCCCCTCTTCCTTGACCCCAAGGCTTCCCTTCCTTCGCTGTCAACAAAGCTGGGGCAGGGGGAACTTAAGCTGTAGCCCAGAAGCCGGATAAGACCAAAGCACGCCCATTTAGTCCACCTCCAAGATAGGACAGTCTCAAGTTACTCACTTCTTCCTACCCTATGCAAAGAGTCTAGGGCAATGGTTCCCAAGCTTGGCACCCAGAGGTTCTTGGACTAAAACTCCCAGAAGCCTTCACCACCAGCTGAACTGGCCAGGATTTCTGGAAGTTGCACCCTGGTTTAAGACCCCATCTAACTTCCACGCATGTCCCGTTCTTCTACAACCCATCTCTCTCTTTTCTCTACGAATCATCAGTCATCAGTGCTGCTTTCTATATCTGCTTCCTTTCAGAGCCTGGCAGTGGCCCCAGGGACATTGTCTGCTATTGTACTGTGGGCTACCGGTCCTCCAGGGCAGCTCAGCTGCTGAACAGCTTTTTGGCCCAAGAAATGGCCGGCCGAGATTTCGGGACCTCCTCCAAGATCTACAACCTCCGGGGTGGACTCGTGATGTGGGGTTCCGAGAGGCGGCCGATGGTGGACCAGCAGGAGAAACCCACCACCATGGTCCATCCTTACAACTCCGTGTGGGCAAAGCTCTTAGAGCCAGAGATCCAAGCAGCAGTAGATGCTTAAAGGGAGGAGGGGATGGTCCCAGAGTTTGGGCAGGTTCTCTTCTGGGGCTACAACTCCCAGGGATCATGCCAGTGGGGGCGGTGTGTGTGGGGGGGATTCAAGGAGGAAATGATCTGAAAAAGGAGCCTTACTAGTCAACCAGCTTTGAAACAGGACGTGAGCCCATCACTCTGAAAAAAAAATGTAAGTTTTAAGCCCCCACCCTCTCCCTGCCTTTGCAAAAGTGCTTCACAAAACTGCCACCGTCTGCCACTCGCAAGGAGACGTCTGTGGAGAGCAAGGCAGTGTTTGTGAAAATCACCGGCTGGCTGCCTTTGGCATCGCCTCTCCCAAGCCCTTCATTGCATGGCAAAAGGCCTGAGTCTTCCTTTTTTTCTTTCTTTTAATGAGCAGGTTTTTAGAGCAGAGAACTATGAAGTGGCTGGGGAGGAGGAGAAGTGGGGGGGGCAGGAGGGAGGAACGCCTGGTTGGGCATCCAGGGCTCCTGGCAGGCAAAGGAGCGCAGAGGCCCTACTCTGGGGAGGCTACTACCCAGAAGCCAGGTTCCCCTGAGCACCCTGAAAAAACTAATCCAGCAGTACCCCGATGGACCTCAACAGATGGGAAACCTTGATGTCTGAGTGCTCAGCCTGGAGGCAGGCGGTGCATCACGGCCTCTCCCAATTTTGAAGAGACCCTTGTCCAGCAGGCCGAGGCCAAGAGGCAGTCCCGAAACCAGCAAAATCAGGGAGCTGGACAGGGGACAGATTGTGTTTGTCTTCAGCGTGGAAGGGATGGTCACTCTCAAATTGGCCTCCTCAGCCACACTAGACGCTGTTCCAAGACCGCCATACAGAGCACGTTACCATAGTCTCTCAAGACTGACGGATGCTCACTATGAATACCCCTCCTCAGCTTATAAGCAGCAAAATCATGATGGATGAGCAAGACCTCTTAACCCCCCCCCCCAATATGTCCCTGTTTACTAGGGAGAGGGGGCCCCCTTCCCATCTCCTGACTTCCAGATCCTATAAACATATTTTGGTGGCGCCTGAATCTTGCAAAACATTGCATTCTCACTGTTTACGGGTATTCTCCTCCTGGTTCGTCCATTTCTCAGCTTTTTAGAGAGACAGGCTCCACACAAACATTTAGAGATGCAGGTAACTTGACTCCTGGAGCATTTAATTTTCTTTCCCTCTTCTCCGGTCAGAGGACAAAGACCCTGGTTTGCTGAACAATGATTTGAATCGTTGTGTTCAGAGTGTAAGCTTCCCTTGCCTGGAGTTTTTCAAGGCACCCTAAGGCATGACCTCTTGCCTCTTGGATAGAAATGGTCTAAAAAACAAAGAACATGCCTCTTGCTTCAGAAACATTTGGGACCTATGGCAATTGAACAGATTGACTGATTACATCAATGATAGCTGATCCATCAGCAATCCATTCTTTCTAGGACTTATGATGGTCTCACCATTCTTGCAATTAAAAAAATAATAATTATAGGACATTCAGATTGTGAATCAGCTTATCCCACTAGAGTTTGCAGTCCATTTTGAACTTGGAAAAGTTCCCTTCCTCTACTCCCAACGCCCAGAAATCCCCTTAGCCAGCATCTCTCAGGGATTCAGAAGAGAACTCGCCAAGAATTAGGAATTTGACTATATCTGTGGTTCTAACAATGTTGGTTTTCCGGCTGTTGTTTTATCATAAAATGCTTGGCCCATTTTGCCTGCCACCCTTTGTAATGTGTCTGTTGTATTTCAGTTTCCTCTGTACCCTGTGCCCCTTCTGCCTGGGGGCTTGCCCCCCCATCCCACCCCCATTGGCTCCCTCCTGCTCTGACTGTTTCCTGCTGGTGGACTTTATTCCACCTTCAGCTGATTTTTCAGAAGACACTCTTGGTTGGGTTGAACCCTACTTGGTACTTTCCCTGGTGACCCCACGGGTCACTTTCCATTAATGGTTGGCAGGTAACAGAGGCCCAGCGGGGCTGAAGGTTCAGCTTGGCAGCTCAGAAAAAGGGGGAGAAAGGATGGGAAAGGCACGTGGTCGTCTCCTTGAGGGGTGGGTGGGGGGTGATGGCAGCTTTCCGTCTGCCACCCCATGGTGCCCCTCCTTCTACCAGGGCTGCCCCTTGTCCCTCTCGGCCGTCCTTACCAACTCAAGGGCTCAGAAGTTGCTTCTAAAGACACCGAGTGTCCGGCTGCTGGGTCTCTGTCTTTCGTCTCGGCCTTTTTCATGTGTCAAGCCGGCCCCAGGCTCCCTCTGATCAGAAGGAATTAAAAGGAGATCCCCAAAGCCTAAGTAACAGCTGGAGTTGTTTTTATTTTCAGACGGCTGCCTCCTTGAGGCGGGCACCTGTCCTCTTTAGGGCTTTGAAACATGCCAGATGCATGGATGGAGAAGCAGCAACCACCCCCACCGCCACTGGCAAGCTTTTTTTTTTAAATGGGGCAAGGTGCTTTCCCCCTGGGGGAGGCCCACAAAGCCAGCTTCTCTTTTCTCCCATTTTCAGACTCCAGAGCTGCTCCGAGCTTCTCCTTCAAGACTGCAGCCGGCGCCCTCGCCGCGTTTCCTCCTGCTGGCAGTTCGCCTCCCTTTCGGCCACCATTCGGTCAAGTGCTCCCTCACTGGGGTGGGAGGATGGCCATCTTTCGGGAGCCCCCCCCCCAACACAGAGGAGGAAAAACAGCAAAGAACCTTCTGGGGCCAAGTCCTTGTTGACCCTCACCTCTCGGTGCAAAGCCTCCATGTCCTCAGGCCTCTTGCTTCCAGGTGTACACAGGGGTGTGTGTGTGTGTGTGTGTGTGTGTGTGTCTGTGTGTGTGTGTGTGTACATACAACCCTGCAGTTCCTCCAAAGATCATGGTCCACCAGAGGGAAAAAGCCCCATAATGACAACACCACCATCCTAGGAAGGTGACGCCATGACGGACAATAGGAATAATATTTATTTATTGTTACCAAGCCGATCAGACACACAGTTTTATTCAGTCATTAACTTAAGAATGTCAAGCCCTGCCTGCAGGTTGGCCCGACGCAAAGGGTGTGGCCATCATGACCAGGGAAAGGGTTGCACAGGGGTAGAGGGCCAGATCCAGGCCATGACGGCCAGCCCTCTGCAGCCTTCCCGGCCCAGAGGAGCACTTTATGGGGAGCTGGGCATCCCCATACACACACACACACACACACACCCATTAGGGGGGCTGGCTTTCCAGGGACATTTGCCTCTCTGCTGGGTTGAGGTCTCTTACTTTTATTTATTTAATTTCCCATATGGAGATCAGAGGAGAAACAGGCAGGGAGGATTCCAGCCCCGAAACCAACCCACTTTCCAGGCCCTGGGTGCAAAATCATGCCCGTTTTACGAAGTGCAAGAATGATCCCTTTTGAGCCTTTCTGGCAATTAAAGAGCCATGTCAACAAGGTCAGCCAACCTGAGGATAGGCTCTGGTTGTATTTTACCCCCCCTCCCTCCCTGGCCCCCCACCAGCACCCTCTCTTCACCTCTGCCACCACCGATGAGGGCTCCTGGCCCGCAGACGGAGGTGGGAAGGGGCCTCCCGGCTCCCAACTTTCCTGGGGTAGCTGGGGAGCATCAGCTGTGAATCTTGTTTCCTTGGCTTTTCTGGTCTGGGCGAGCAAGCCCCTGGATGCCACCCTCGGCACTGACCCAGAGGGCTATAGGTTCACCTGGACAACACAGGTGATGTGGTCACTAGTCTTTCCAGGGGGTGCACAGTGGGTGGGAAGCAGGCCAAGGAGGCCCCAGCGAGCACACCCCCTTTCAGTCTCCCTTGCCCCACGAGAGTCCTCTCTTCATTGGGTCCGTCCACTTTTTTCCTCCTGTATTGAATCTTAGCAGCTCGTTTCGTCTCAAGTTCTTTGGTTTCTTGCCTTTTTTTTTTTTTTGTCATAACCCGTATTCTCCTCTCCCCAGGCTGTGTGGAAACTCAGTTCTGGCGCCGCAGGGGGCTGGTGGGGCTGGTGGTGATTTCCCGAGGGGTGCTTCCTGGGAGCCCCCTTCCCCAAACCGCATGGACGGTTTTTTTTGGCACAGCAGCATCTCGCCCCCAGCTGGTCCGTCTCCTCTCGAAACGAGTGGGGGGAATCCCAAGGGGGTTCTCCTGGAGGCCTGAGGAAAACTGAGGGGGGAGGGAGGCAGGGGCCACGAGCGGGACGAAGCAGCCCACGTTTCTCCAGACTCGATGCTCTGGCCTCAGGCATCACTTCCCGAGGGTGGCGTTCGCCCAGGGGGGGAAGGTGTCCAAGTGGAACATGGGCCGGCCCCAGCTGTTGATGGCCAGGGTGATGCACAGCACGCCAATGAGGTTCATCACTACCCCTGTCCGCGCCTGGAGGAGAGGAAGACAAGACGCCGCATGGAATAAGATATTTCTGGGCTTGGGGAGGGTCCCTCTGAGAGCCATGCCTCGAGGGCCCCCCCCTCAGCCCCATTGGAGCAGCAACCAGGTTGCCAGGGGCCTCATCCCGTTTCCCCCACCCCCTGCTCTGCCCCATGCAATGGTTCCCAAAGGCTTACCATGTCCGAAACGTGGAGGTGGCCGTAGGAGAAGACAATGGCGTTGGGAGGCGTCGCCACGGGGAGCATGAAGGCAAAGGAGGCGCTGAGGGTGCAGGGGATCATGATATAGAGCGGGTTGACCTCGATGGACTGCGACTGGCCGGAGGGGAGGAGAGAAAGGGAGAGGGAACCCCTTGAGATGCCTGCGAGGCCCCACCAGTAGGAGGCGCTCTTCAGAATGCAACTGCCCCCCACCCTCCACTTCCTCCTGGGCTCCCAAAGTAGTTAGTTACAACTTTAAAGTAACTCAAAACAGGCACAGTGATACCCAAGATTTCACACATTTGATTGCAGTGCAACGGAGTTATTCCAAAGAGGAGCTCCTTAAAAGGAACTGTATTTGGAAGCTTGGGTTGGACTTTTACAGGAGTGGAGGAGTGAAGGGTCAGATCCCAGCTTTACCAGTGATGCAAAGACGGGCAGGAAAAGGGTGGCGGTGGCCACGTTGCTGGTGCACTCGGTGAAGACGGCGATGACGAGGGAGAGGATGATGCCGATGGCCCAGGGGGGTACGTGGTGCAGGGGCGTCATCTGGTCCCCCAGCCACTTGGAGAGCCCCGAGGCCTGGAAAAGAGGGAAAGAGGGAGGGGGGGTTGAGAAGGATCCCCGGGAATCATCCTTCCCTCCGTCTTAACTATTGGCTCCAGTTCTGAGTGTGTGTTTTCTCCGCCACCCCACTTCCCTTTGGGCCAATGAGGAGGAGATGCTACAATTAGCCTTTCCTGCACATCACAGGAAGAGTTGAATCAATCAATCAATCAATCAATCAATCTTTATTTTGTGGTCTCCGACCCATTAAAGCACAGGAAGGGCTTTTTTCTACTGGGTGGGAAAGACAGGTTAAAAAAGGGGGGGGGTGCTCAAGTGGAAGAGGAGCCCTGACCTTTGACCTTCGCCAAAGAGCCTAAAACCTCCCAAACCACCCTGCCCATTGGAGGGGGATCCTCGGAGGTGTCACCCCTAAGCCCCTTGGAGACAAGCCAGAGAAATGTTCCACACACACACACCCGCCTGACAGGCCACCGATGCCGCCCCCCTGTCCGGCAGGAGCCCCATCCCGCCCTCACCCAGAACAGCCCGCCAGCCTGCATCCTTTGTGGTGCTGGGAATTTGGTAATTTCAGAAGGAACCTCCAGGGAGGGTGTGTGTGTGTGTGTGTGTCTCTTCCGGGTCCCTGCCCTCTGCGGAGACTCTGCGGGCTCACTTGGCGGGGAGAAGGGTGTGTGTGTGTGTGTGTGTCTCTTCTGGGTCCCTGCCCTCTGCGGGGACTCTGCGGGCTCACTCAGCGGGGAAGGCAGATGGAGCCGAGTCCTTTTGCAGCTTGCGGGGAGTGCCTCGATGCTAGACAGCCCGCCAGCCCGCCAGCCTCCCTCCTTCCCTCCTGGCCAGAGGGCTGGCCAGGCCACACAAGCCCTCTTTGTCGGAGCCCCGATTCCCTCGCTGGGGCCTTCGGAGAGGGATCACAAGGGGACGCTTGTTCCACGGCAGAGCTGCGGAGCGACAGACGTCCCCGACAGGCCCGGTGCTGGTCCTTCTGCATTCAGGCTGCCCTCCAGAAACCTTGCCAGGCCCTCCAGCCTTGAAGAGAGCTGCCCCTCCCTCTTCTCCACCCCCTGGCAGGCAGCAACGAAAAGTCCCTTTCCTCCCCAAAGGGGATAATTCAGGTCAGGGTCCCCTCGCCCGGGTGCAAAGAGGATGCACACAGCAGCCCTTGCCTGCCCCTGCAGGGGAAAGTGCATCTCTTGGGTGCTCAGCCCCAGAACTGCACATCCTTGGCCCCCATAGGGTGAGTCTCCCCCTGCAGCCAGGGTGGGAATGGCTGAGGCTGTCTATCTCTCCCCCACCCCCAAATGCTGGGTGGAGGGCACCCCCCCTGCTAGCTCCATGTCCGGTTCTTGCCGGGCACTGCCCGGGTGGCTGTTGTCCAGTTTTCTTCAGAGCCAAAGCCTGCGGCCGCCCCACTGACCAGCTGCCAGCAGCAGTTCCGCTGTGCCTTTGGAGGTGGGGGGGAAGGGTTTCCTGGCCGACTGGATGAGGCCCAGCTCTGCCGTGACCTCAGGAAACCTCCGCTTGGTTCAGGAACAAAATCAGGCCGATCCTGAGGCCAGGACGAGCCAGAGATGGTCAACAGCCCTCGGTTGATGTCAGGGCAGCTGGGCTGAGATGCTGACGGGGTGCCTCTCTCCATGGCAGGTGGGGGGGGGACACAGAAGATCTTCCGGCCACCCTTCCTGGGGTCCTCTCTGCCCTCTTCTTGCTCAGCAGTTCTGCCAACGGGCACCCAAGGGGCGAGGTTGCGCCACTGCAAAGGGTCCAGGGAGCAGCAAAGGCCAGCCAGCTTCCGTCCCCCCACCCCCAGTGGGCAGCTTGGCAAAGGGGGAAAGGACGCACCTCGCTCCCGTAGGCCAAGGCAAAGCCGCCCCCCAGCAGCAGCACGATGCTCCAAGGCAGCTTCCTCTGGACCACTTTCCAGTCCAGCAGTGGGGCTGGGAAGAAGGGCTCCTTCAGCGCTGTGGGAGGGGAGAGAGAGAGAGGGGGGTGTGTGTCAGCGGACAAGAGACAGGGAGTCCGCCCAAGAAGGAGGGGGCGGTGAGACCAGAGGCCCCCGGTGTCGGGCATGGGGTCTAATAGAGCCATCACAGGCCTCGCGTTCTGCTCCGCGAAACAACCACATGCCCCACCACCACCACCACCTTGCCTTTACCTTCCTCCGCCTCTTCGGGATCCATGCCGCTCTGGCTGCAGAAGCCACACCGGGGCCGGGTGGCCGGGACAACAAAGAGCAGGAGGGCAACGAAGATGGCGACCGTGGCGTCGGTCACGTACCTGGAGGGCCATATTTCAGAACGTGACCACGGAGGACGAGAGAGAGAGAGAGAGAGAGGGCGGCCGCCTCCCCAGCCTGGGAAGCGGGAGGGCTGGAAGTGGGGGAGGGGGAGGACCCCCTCCCACCACCACCACCACGGGCCCCAAGACGGACCAGCTATGGGGCAGGTGACGCCCCAACATGGCCTGCAAGAGGACATCTTGGGTTTGATCCTCAGCATCATCTAAGCAAGGTGTGTGTGTGTGGGGGGGGGCATCTGAGAAACACACTCACTCTTTGTCGTGGTTGAAGAGGACGGTGGCCCATCCGGGGATGAAGCCGGGGTCTCGGGTGAACCAGAGCAGGATTAACAAGGTGAAAACCATCAGCACGCTGAACTCGGCGAAGGAGACCGGACCCAGCTTTCTGTGCTCCTCCTTCAGCACGTTGAGGGCGGCTTTCTCCTTCTCCGTCCTTTGGGTCCCACAGCCCCACGTCTGCCGGAAGCTGAGGGTCAGGACAGAGAAAAGTTGGGCTTTGCAGCTGGCTGGGGGCTGCAGTCACCAAGATAACTCTCACATACACACAAACACACACTCCCAGTCAGATGGCCGTTTGGCCGCGGGCAATAAAGCAGGAGGAACCGAGCAGCAACGGGAGGTCTTAGCAGAGGAGCTAGAAGGGGGAAGCCTGAGTGAGGAAGAGAGGGTTCAGGGTGGGGTGGGGTGGGCAAGAGGCTGAAGCAGAGAAACCAGAGCAAAGCAGGAAAGGAGAAGAGTAGGGTCAGGCGGGGAACGAGGGGCAGTGACAAAGGAATGCATTCGGAAAAGCAGGAGTTCATCGTATCAGTCCCCTGCAGCCATCACCCCCCGGTTTCCCAAAAGGCAGGCCACTCAATTCTTTTGTATCAGCAAATAGGAGGCGGGTCTTTTGTGAAGCTAATGGCTCCTGATTGCTTGCTCAAGACCTAGCGACACACAAATCCTTTGCACTGTGACGGAGGTCAATTTCAACACTCTCTGGATCCTGGGAAAACCCTTGTCCTTCCTGGAGGCTGCAAGGATTTCTCGGCTGAGCTCAGAGGGAAGAAGGGAGAATTGCTGAGCAGGGCCATAGACTCGTAGAGGATGGGACCTTTGGAGAGGTGGCTTGAGGGCCCCGATCCGCTTCCAGCAGTTCAGGAAGCCGTGGGGCTTCAGTCCTGGTTCTACAATGACATGGAAAGCCTAACACCACCCTCCGAGGCCCCATAGACGTCCCAGGGGTATGAAAGCGGCCCGCTTCCCTCATTTCCAGCAGGCTGGGAAAGATTTTGTTTTTCTCCACCCATGGCCAGGAAAGGGCATTCCGTGGGGAATTCCCTCCAGAGACCGGGCGTCCCGCCCCTCCTGACTCATAGGTGGACTTTCTCCCTGAAACATTTCAGGACGTCCAGGAACTTTCTGACCTCGTGGCCTGCTGGGCAGAAGCCCCAATCCGACTTTCCTCTCTGCCAGGACATTTACGGGGTGGGGAGGGCGGGGGATCAGCGACCGCGGGAAGGACCCGGGGTATGTTTGGGTACAGGAGGAGCTGCCCTGGCCCAAGCCGAGAGGTCAAAGGGCTCCTTCCTCCCCCGGCCATATCCCTCCCCTCCCCCGCCTTCACACACAGACACGGGCACACACACACGCACACACTGAATTCTTACTTGAAGCCCATGAAGGAAAACTGGAGCCAGAACCAAGCCAGCGCCAGCATCAGGAGCATGTTGGGGAAGGCAAAGCCGAACCACGAGGCGAAATTCAGGATGTCGCCGTTCTCTGGGAACAACCTGTAAAGAGGAGGAAGGAAGGCCATTGACCCAGCATCCCACAGTCTTCTGAGGAGGGGCGAGGTTGGGGAGGGGGAGGGCCAGCTCAGGTGTGTGTATGTGATAGGGGTGCCCAGGCCCAAACAATTTGGAGGTGCCTATAAGGAAACCCCCCTTGCTTTTCCTGGATGGGAAGGCCCTCCAGAGAGAGAGAGGTTGCAGGAGGCACTCATCAAAGGAAGGCATGGACTGAGGATGGCCAGTGGAGGGGGGGCCTCCATGGGGGC